ACCTAGGGTTGCGATCCCGTTACCGGTCAGTAAAAAAAAAGACAAAAAAGGAAAAAAAAAACAAAACAAAACTAAACAGTAAAAAGACTAATGACTCAAAAGTGTGTAAAGATTTGAATAGATATTCTTCTAAACAAGATAAATAACCAATAAATACATGAAAAGATGCTCAACATCATTAGCTGTCAGGGAAATGCAAATCAAAACCACTATGAGATAATACTTCACACTCACTAGATGGCTTAATAAACAAGACAGACGATAACAAGTGTTGGAAAGGATGTGGAGAAATTGGAACCCTCATGAATTTCTGTTGGGAGTGTAAAATGGCATAGCCAAACCAGAAAACAGTTTAGCAGTTTCTCAAAATGATAAATGTAGAGTTATTATATGAGCCACCTAGGTATACACCCAAGAGAAATGAAAACATATGTTCACTCAAAACCTGTACATGAATGTTCATAGCAACATTACTTATAATAGCCCCAAAATGGAGCAATCCAGAATGTCTATTGACTAATGAACGGCTTAATAAAATGTGGTGTCCGTACCATGGAATATTATTCAGCCATAAAAAGAAATGAACTACTTCTAGTGTTCTATAGCACTGTATGGTGACTATAGTTAACAATCATTTATTGTATATTTTCAGATAGCTAGAAGAGAGGACTTTGAATGTTCCCAACACAGAGAAATGATAAATGTTTGAGGTGATGGGTGTGCTTACCCCGATTTAATCATTGCATGTTATATGTGTTGAAATATCACTCTGTACCCCATAAATATGTACAATAATTTTGTTTCAATTAAAAATAAAAAACATGAGCTACTGATATGTGCTGCAAATAGATGAACCTTGAAAACATGCTGAATGGGAGAAGCCAGACACAGAAGAATAAGCAAATAAATCACAGAAACGGAAAGTAGATTAGTGGGTGCCAGGAGCTGGGGGAGGGGTAGACAGGGAGTGACTGCTAATGGATGTGGAGTTTCTTTTTGGGGTAATGAAAATGTTCTGAAATGAGATAGTGGTGATGGCTTTACAACTGTGAATATACTAAAACCCGTTTAATTGTATAGTTTAAAAGGGTGAATTTTATGGTATGTGAATTATATCTCAATAAAACTGCTATTTAAAGAATATTAAATCCTTCAAAATGCATCTCAGTTCTCCCTCCTTTATGTAACCTTTCTTTATCTAACTGTCTTTGATTTTTCTTCCTCTTACACTCCATAGCATTTTTGACCAACTTGAATAGAAGACTTATCTGTCTTATATAGGATAATTATTAGTATGTCTTTTTTCCCTACCCTCATTAAATTGCAGACTCCTTGAGGGTACTTTTAGTATTCCAGCTAGTGCAGTGCCTTGAACACAGTAAGTGCTTGGTAAAATATTTATTAAGGTCTAGATTGGGAGGAACAGATGCAAGAAAATAATTTTAACTTGGGAGGTATAATATCTGCTAAAGGGATGTGAGTGAGGTCAAGGAAGATTTCTACGTGGAAGTGTTTTTTCTTTCTTTTTTTTATTGAAGCATAACGGATTGTACATATTTTGGGGGTATAGCATTGAGTACCATCATCTGTGTGCAACATGTGTTGATCAAATCAGTATTATTAGCATAATCATTATTACAAATTGTAATTATTCTTTATGCCCCAAACCACCTCTTCCCCTCCCACCTCTAGTAACCAAAGATTTTTTCTCTCCTTCTGAAAGATCAACATACTATTTTGTTTTTTCTTTCTTTCTTTCTTTCTTTCTTTCTTTCTTTCTTTCTTTCTTTCTTTCTTTCTTTCTTTCTTTCTTTCTCTCTCTCTTTCTCTCTCTCTTTCTCTCTTTCTTTCTCTCTCTCTCTCTCTCTCACTCTCTTTCTCTCTTCCTCTCTTTCTCTCTTTCTTTTCTTTTCTTTTCTTTTCTTTTCTTTTCTTTTCTTTTCTTTTCTTTTCTTTT